CCCTCCCTCCCTCCCTGGCTCCCTCCCTCTCTTCGCCTCCCTCCCTGGCTCCCTCCCTCCCTGGCTCCCTCCTTCTCTGCCTCCCTCTCTCTATCAGCGCTGTTGTGCTTGAAGAGGTGGAGAGTTCCGTCCACACTCGGCCCAAAAACGGAGTACGTGGGTTCGCCGGGCGTGCGCGAAGTGCACCCTGTCTCTCTCTCTCTCTCTCTCTCCCTCCCCTTGCATGCTTCCTTCCCTCCTCCCTCCATCCATCTGAGGGCTGCAACTCCATTTTTTGTGGGAGTGCTATGTTGCAAGTGGCGCAGGATTTGTGCACGGTAAGGAGTAGGCTGGGATCATGCCGTGAATGCGGATAGGCATGGGGAGAAGGAACGCGAGGGGGAGGTCAAGTGCCTGGTCAGGTAGGCAGAAGGTCGCCATCGAAATCTTGAGTGGCTGGGTAGCAGGCGAAGGACGAAGGGTAAGGGTGAGGATGCGGGCTCAGGAGGATGAGAGGGTCGGGATTCGGTCGGTCAGGATGGAATGCGACGACAGCGGAAGCAGAATGATAGTCACGGGGATAGGGTGGAGCACGCAGGGTAAGTTTGCCGGCGTTAAGGAGGTTGTGGAGGAGGAGGGCGTCGAGGAGGGTCCTATAGTAAACGGGAGGAGGATTTACGTCGGGGACCCAATTTGCGGAGAAGAGGATGGGCAGCGCGGATTGGGAGGGGGGCCATCAGGATGTGGGATCGAGAGGAGGAGGAGGTCGGAATGCCAGTCAATCAGGGTGAGGATGTAGGAACCGATGGAGTGCAGGGGAAAGAAGGGCAAGGCAACAGGGTAAGGAATGCAGGTCTTGTAAGGGGACCCAGACAAGGTGGGGAAGAAGAGATGGCGAGGGAGGAAGAGGGCTCAGCGCGGAGGGAGGGGAAAATGTTGTAATGAAAGGAGAGCAGGACAAAGACGAAGGCCCTGAATCACGAGCGAGATGGATAGAGTAAATGTGGATATGCAGGTGATAGAGAGAGAACAATGAAGAGAGAAAGAGCGACAAACAGAGGAAGAGAGGAAAGGACATACCAGATCCGCAGGGGCCATATCGAGTATTAGGGGAGCAGGCACTCAAAGAGGTTCGCGACGGAGGAGCGAAGGGCGTGGAGAAAGACGGGAAGACAGAGACTACAGGGGTAGGACAAGGAGAGAGCAGGATAGGGATAAGTAGGTTGTTGGGGGAAGATCGGGAGTGGGGAATGGAGGGCACAGGTTGAAAGATGGAATAGGAGGTGGAAGGGAGGCAGTGGAGAAAGAAAGGAAAAAGACCAGCGGGTAGGGGGGTGGTGGGGGGAGAGAGAGAGAGAGAGAGAGAGAGAGAGAGAGAGAGAGAGAGAGAGAGAGAGAGAGAGAGAGAG